TCTTTGTCACCATTTCTATGGTGATGAGGATCTGGGGTGTGGCTTCAGAAGACAGTCTGTCCCAGGGCTTCCCTGGTGGTGCAAGGGGTAAAATCTCAGCACTGTGCAGCTATCACCAGCCAGGAGTTAGATCCCCGGCCAGTTGCTGACCCACACGGTGCAGCAGACATCTCCTGTCTTCTTGCTGCTCCCCTCAGCAGTGTGCTCCAGCAGCTCTGACTGTTGTGCCCCCTACTCGGTCTCTGGTAAGGTGAATCCTCTCCCACCCCCTCCCCTCTGCCTTTGGCCTGCACCCCACTCTTCTATGCACAAATAAATAAAAATAAATGTAAAAGAGGAAATAGCAATCAGTCGTGAGGTATTGTCTGTAGTTAACCATTGTGACAAAACCCTCCATTTCTAGAAAATAATTCATCGGTACAAGCCAAGAGAAAACAACCACCAAACTGGACACATTAGTCAAATAAATAGTTAACAGAATATCAGAAGACATGCAGGAAGAAAAAAATGAAAAATTATATAATGGTTCCACTCCTATGAAAATAATTTTCTCTCTAACTTCATCCTAATATTATTAACTAGTATTAACTACTACAACAAAATGTTTTTGTAAACGAAATGTAATTTCAATCCATTTGATCTATGTTTGCATAAACTCACAAGGCAAAATAATCAAGCAGAACTTTGTTGGCTATGCTGGAACTTTCCATAAGGGAGTTTAGATTCAGTTTTCAACATCCGGCGGGTGCTGGCTTACAGGGGCGCGGTAATGTCTCACAACACTGCACCTGCAACATCTGTGCTTTTGGGTTGGTTTACTCTTCTCAAGATTCCAAAAGCTTTTCTCTGTGCTCTCAGGCCCACCGATGGGGGAAAGCTCCCTTCCTTGCCTTGGAGTTCTCTGGATCCCTACCGGCAATGTGGCAGGCTCTTCTCTTCTTGGCTCTGTTCAATTTCAACTCCTAAAAGACATTCCAATCCAATTATTGGTTATGAACCATGTTTCCAATTTTTCTGTTTTAAGGAAAGACAAATTCCCTATTGAAATGATGCAAAGACAGATACATTGCCACGAGTAATATGAATACTTATTACCATATTTTCCAAAATATGATGGTGTCTAGGAGCAAGGGAAAATGCAAACTCAAGTTAGTGATGCTCACAAAGTGTGCAGCCTGACAGTGCTGCAGACCCGGTCAGTCTCACGTTTCTCCTCTATGTCTCTCTCTCTACTTAATGATTTAAAATTCCTTGTTTTGTTTTAAAAGCAAGATCATATTCTTAACTCTAAATGTGACTTAAGCTGACTACCACAATTTCTTGTTTTATCCTAAAAGGTTTATCTTTTGTATAAACACATCACAACTGACTTGTATTTTTCTCTTCAATGGATAAGTTATTCAACAGCTTCAGTTTTAAACATATGGGTCTGTTGAAGTGGTTTGTTTCTAATTTAATTGTCATGTGGGCAGAGAACAAGGTCCACACAATATGTATTTAATTGGGTTATTTTTTATTATTGATTTGTAAGTGATGCTCGCAAACTGTGCAGCCTGACAATGCTGCAGACCCTGGTCAGTCACATGTTTCTCCTCTGTGTCTCTCTCTCTACTTAATGATTTAAAGTTCCATGGTTTGTTTTAAAAGCAAGATCATATTCTTAACTCTAAATGTGACTTACGCTGACTATCACAATTACTGCTCCTGTCTTGGGAGCAGTAATATGTCCTGGGTCCCCTCTTGGGTGAATCCCAGCAGAGTTGTTGGTTTTTCAGTCTGTTTTGCTTTTTACTTACTGTCAAGAGGGGTGGTGACATCTAAGTGACTTCTCAGAAGCCACCACCGCCTGCACCATGCTGGACACTTGCCACCCTCGAGGCAAGCATGAGCTGAGGAAAAGGCTACGTTCTTGAGACCTTGCTGGACAGACACTGTGACCCTTTGCAGATGTGTTTGCCACTCCTCAGAAAGCCTTTTGGAATTGTTTTTTATAATCACGTCCACTATTTCTCCCCAACCAGAACAGAACAAATAAAGACTTTAAAGAACCAAAACAGAAACACTAACGATTTTGTATTAAGAAAGTCTGAAACTATTTGGAAATCTATATACTTGTAAAAGAAAAGTGTTGACCCATCAGCGTGAGTACCTGATACCTAAAATGCGTACCGTAAGGCTCATGACTTCAGGCTGAAATCTGGCTGTTTATGCTCTACAGTAAAACATCTGATCAATCGCTCTGCTCACGAAATTTATAAATTTAACTTAGTAGATTGGTACTAATTATTTAGTACTTGGGAGAATATCTAAAAAGGAATAGAATTTTGAGTGTAAAAATGTTGTAAGATGCTTAATTAAGTTTATAAAGGGGATCAAAGACCTCTTAAGAGTAAGGACAATTCAGGGGGCTTACAACAGACAAAGGTAAAAACTGAAAGGCCTAAGTCCGTCACCCGCTGTGCTCACAGCGACTGAGGCTTCTGAGATTCTGAAGGCTATTTGGGGGTTTGTTATCCAAGACCATGTCCCCACCCACTGCAGAAGGACACATCTTCCTCACCTTCCATCACACCCTTCCCTCATCTTTTAGTGATGGAGAAATTCCAAATCCCTGGAAGACATATAAACAACTTCCTGCATATTCAGGCACCCATATGGTGACCAAATAATTTATTGGCCAAAGCAGGACATACTTGGAAGTGAAAGGACATGATTGTCTGGTCTGGGGCAACAGACTTAAGCCAGGGTTGCTCTTCACAAACCAGGACAAGCTCCTGCTACAAATAAATGTGTGGCTGTAAATACAGGACAGGAATAACATCTAGAACTCAGCTCCCAGCGTCCAGGGGTCTTCTCAAGTGTGGACAACAGTACTGTTTTTATTAGCACACTCATACAGCCTGCCCTCCTCTGTGTTGCAAGGTTTCTTTTTCACACCTGGGATGTTCTAAGACATCCTCCCTCGTTGAATACTGACAAATCTGTTAGGAGGAGCTATACTGAAAAGTCAATCTGTAATTCCGAGAGAAGACACCAAGGATACTGGCTGGCTAGGTTTTCTTGAATGCAAATTCTTACAACTGATCAAGCCTTATTTTCAATTCTGAATCTGTGGTCTTTTATTTTTTCATCACTACATATGTGCAAAGGTGTCCAGTGTCCTCTGGGGCACGTCTGTAAGCCACCTGGCACCAACCACAGAGCCAAGTGTGTGGTCGCATATCTTTTTTTTTTTTTTAAAGATTTATTTCTTGATGAATATAGAACTGGGGTACAGGCCAGAGGTGCAGGGGGTGAGAGGATTCCCCAGAGACAGAGTGGGGAGAGAACAGGTTGACTGATGAAGCGCTGAGGGGAGCAGCGGGCGGGTCAAGAGAGGTCTGCAGCGCCATGTGGTCACCTCCAGGGCAGGCGGGAATCGAACTCATGCTGAAGTGGCTTAAGCTTCTCAGTGCTGTGCTTCCACCTGCTGAGCCACCAGGGAGGGCCCCTCGTATGTCATTTTTTACCCTGACAGTGCACTTTTGGCCTTTAACCAAATTCTGGTGTGCTCCCCATGATGGGAGAACAGGGCACACTGGGGCTCAACCCCACCCCAGGGACGAGGCGCCCTTGTCGCCCAGTGATGAGTGGTGGTTGCGTCTGGCTTGGAGACCCCACTGGTTTGTAGACACGGCTCGTTTCTTCACTGCAGCCAAGCGCTTTGTCCCAGTCTGTCTTATAAGACTTGGTCCAGTGGGAAAGGTGCCCTGCACCACCCACCTTAACTGTTTCCCTGCGTTACCTTAACTTCCTTTATTTGGGGCTTTGGTTTTAGGGGTGAAGATGTCCAAGTGGGGCCCTCCCTGGCGCAGCAGGTGAAAGCGCAGCACTGTGAGCCAGCCGCAGCCACTTTGGTGCCAGTTTTGGTGCCCCCCCAGGAGTGGTCCACATGGCACGGCAGACCTCTTCCGTCTCGCCCGCTGCTCCCCTCAGTTCTGCTTGACTCTGACTCTGGTGAATCCTCTCAGTGTTCCTGCACCTCTGGCCTGTACCCCAGTTCTGTATGAATAAATAAATCTTCAAAAAAAATAAGTCCAAGTGACCTCACCATGTGGAAGTGACCTATTCACTCTAGTCTGAAAGTGCTGGATCAGATAATCCCGCAACAGTCCGGCCAAGACTGAGCTGGATGCAGTAGGCAGGGGTGTGAGAGTTGCAGCGGCCGGTCCAAAGCGGGGTTTCTGGAGTGTGGTTCTGGAGAGCACAGGAGCAGCCCGAGGCCTGTCCCCCGCACAGTGGCCTTTAGACAGCCCTCTGTCATGCGACTGTCTGAGGGCAGAGTTTCTGCAGCCGAGGGGGCCGATGTGTGGGGCAGGGGCTGAGGTGGGACAGCTGAGCTTCCTCCTCCACACCCAACGCCTCTAATTCTCTTTTTTAAAAAAAGATTTTATTTATTCTTGCATATAAGAACTGGGGTACAGGCCAGAGGTGCAGGGAGTGGGAGGACTCACCAGAGACAGAGGGGAGCAGAAAAGGCCGATCTATTGAAATACATAGCTGAAGGGAGCAGCAGGGAGAATGAGGCGTCTGCTGCGCATGTGGGTCACCCCATGGCCGTGTGGGTCACCCCATGGCAAGGAAAACATGGCTGGGACCCAACTCAGGCCGCAGCTGAGATTAACCCCTGCACCACCAGGGAGGCCCCCTTCCCTCTCATTCTTGATGCAAGTAATTTCAGCAGCCTTATCCTGGGAAATTTAGCACCACCATTTTTGAATTCTGTTCCAACCAGATCGTCTGGGCCCTCCAGAGGGACACCTACCTGGTGGCTGCGTGTTCACTGAGGCTCCTGGCCCCCAACCTTTCTTGTCAGATTTCTGGTCTCTGCTGGGGCCTCCCAGGCACGTGCCACCTCGCACCCAACAGGAGTGAGGCACCAACACTGAGCGTTCTTAGCCACGGTGAAAGAGGTAACAGTCAGACTCCCTCTTCTTGGAAGAAACACAACCGAGACCAAGTGAGAAGTAGCTACAGTTTAATACAAACCTGCACCAGAACACAACGTGTTGGGCTGTTTTGTTTTTGCCTCCAACAGGTGGCCAAAGCACAGGACCGCGTGTCGTCTGGAGGTGACACAACCTTAGCACCATGACATTAACAGAGGAGTGAGGAAGTCACTTGGGCGCTGGCGGCTCCCTGCCCCCGGCTGGCGGGGCTGGGGGGGGCTTCCGGTGCTTCTGCGTTTTCTGGGTCGGGAGTGGAAAAGCCCTCGTCACGGCATTGGCTTGACAGAGACCTACTGTGGACTCTAGCACTACACACACGCACGCACACACGCACACAGGAGTACAATTTTCTGGTAACTTAACCCACAAACCTAGAGAGCAGCTAAGGCAAAAACAACAGTATTTATTCAGCAAGTACAAGACCAATTCGAGAGCTGCATTCAGTGCAACCAGAGACCCTCTTCATTGCAATGGGGGGGGGGGGCGAGGGAGGGAGGCTGGTGATGGAGCTGGCTGAAGCTCTGCAGGGAGGCAAGAAGTGGGGCGGCTGGCGGTTCATTTGGTTCCTTGAACCTCTTTCTGATTTGCATCTAGAAGCTCCTGGGGAAGGGTAGGGTCCATGGAAGGATGGGAGGGGGTGAAATGGAAGGCTGCACAGTGGGCCACTCCAAGCCGGGGTCTCCTGCGCCGCGGGGACCACCATCCTTTGGGCGGAGGCACTCAGAGAAGGTAAAGCTTTCCTGGCCCTGGCAGGGACACTCTGCCCGCTGGCCACTACCACTGCTCGGCTCTTTGGCATCTGCCCAGGCCCATGACCCAGCAAGGGCCGACGGGGTAGAGATGTGCACTGGACCAAGGGGCCAGCACCATGGTCTCCCAGGCCTGGCCTCTCCCGCAGTGCCCACGGCTGCCCCCCTCTTTGAGGCCCCCACCTCTGTTCCCTGACCTGTGTGTCCACCCTCTCAGCCCCTAAGTGGGCAAACGAGCACGAAGGGAGATGAGCGGACATGGACGCAGCTCAGGCCACATGGCAGGCCTCCAACGGTTAGCTCGGTTAGCTCGTTCTGGCTCGAACAGTGGATTTGCATTAGTTTGTTTACAAGAAAATCCATCTACCTGTGCAAACAAAGCAGAAACCTAGCTGGGGGGGGGTCGAGTGTTCCTTAGTTAAGCTCCTCGGTGGGGTCTACCCGAGGAGGTGTCCCCTGCTGCTCCCCTCTACAGCTGGGGTAGATAGCAGATGTGTCAGGGATACTTCTAGGGACAGTGGGCCTGACCTTTCTAGGTCTCCTCTGTGAAATGGGGAGAGTAGATGCTCTGCGGTCATGAGGGGAAATGAGAGGTCATAGAGGAAAAGCACCAGAGAGGCGTGCGGGGATGACTGTTAGCTCAAGGTCCAGCAGCCCAGTGCGAGGCTGGGGTGCTCCAACCGACTGCAACATGAAAGCACTCCCCAAGGGCAGGCGGTCGCTCCCCAGGTCCCTCAGGTGGACGGAGGCCACCTGGCCTCTGGAGTTGCATGGACACTTCCTGGAGCTTCAGAGGCAGGGATGTGGGAGGAGGAGGAGGCCACGAGCCCGGGACGGTGGGCTGCTCAGCACAGGCCGTTCAGCCAGGTCCTGCCGGCCGGCTCTCCCGTCCTGGCATCAGCTCCCCCACTGCTCCCCCTCTCTTAGCAGGCAGGAGTCCTCTTGCCAATCACACAGGAGAAGGGACTAGGCCTCTGTCCAGCAGGGGGAGTTTATAGGCAGCTGGTGTTGGGGGGGGGGAAGTGGGGGTTAGTGCTGGGATGACCAGGGCCAGAGATGGGGAAGGCCACCCCACACCCTGAAGGTGTCCGGGGCCAGTACCCCGGGTACCCTCCCAGGCTGTAGGCAACGAGACCGGGAGGAGAGGGACGAGGGCCTGGGAAGGGCCTCTGGCAGCCTGGAAGACTCCAGCAGGGGAGCAGAGGGGCCTGTGAGTCCAGGACCCCATCCTACTGCACCCTGGTTGGTGCATCTGGTTGGTGTCGAGTGCAGCATCTCCTAAGGTCCACATCTATTCCTGTTTCTATGCTATGCTAGTGTCACGAAGCACCGTTATTTTTCACAGGATGCACGAACAAGTCAAACCAAACCACTGCGCAAACCAAACGTGCAAAACGAAATCATGTACACGCGCCTGGCACCAGCCTCACACCCACCCAGCCGGCCCCTCGGGGCCTGGCATGCCCCAGGGAGCTGGGTGGGGGGAGAGGGAGAAGCTGGCAGAGGGCGCAGAGTGTTCCAGCCACACCCATCCCGGGGGCCCAACCACACCGGCAGGGAATGTCCTGGGCGTGGCTGGGAAGCTACCACCTGTCTGACTCGGGAAAGTGACCACAGGCCTACGGGGACAGGAGAGTCCTTTCTTAAAAACACATCTGCTAAAGTGCTCTGGGCAACTGGCCGGTGGGCCAGGGGCAGGGCACTAAAGACTGGGCTTTCCCAAAGCCAGGACGGGGAGGGGGTGGGGTCGGGGGAGAGCAGGGGCTGGGCGGGGCCTATGCCAGGGCTCTGCATAGTAAGGGCTTCCTGGGCCCCAGGAAAGCCTGCCGAGGCGAGGCAGGAGAGGACTGCAGCAGGAACACATCTCAAAGTGCCTGTTAGGGTTGGCTCGAAGCACAGTGAATCACGTGGCAGACACGGGGAGGGCCCCCCAGGTCCCGTGGCCCTCTCAGATGGTGCCGTCCAGCCCGGCCTCTCCCCCCCCTGCAGCTGCGGCTGAGGGTGTGCAGGCTGGTGGCAGCGGTGCGTCCTCCTTGGGGGGCTGGTCAGTGCCTTTACCAAATGCCACTTGACCTGCCTCCGGGGGGAGCGAGGATCCGAGCCGAAGCTCGCTTTGGAACGTGGTCATCGATCTGAGAACCTGCAGGGAAGGAAGCAGAGGTGAGCGCAGGGGCTACCGTCGGGGGGTAAAGGCCCCCCCACCCCCCCACAGCCCGACCCCGGCCATGTGCACTGGCCGCCAGGTGCTGGTGGATGCTCACAAGCGCAGAGGCCAGGTGAGGCCCTCTGCAGGTCTCATCTAACTCAAGCCTCACAACGCCACCCACTTCACAGATGAGGAAACCAGGCTCAGGGACGTTAAGGAACTTGCCCATCGTGGCACCGTGCGTAAGTGGTAGAGTTTGGGTTTGACCCGGGTCTTCCTGACTCAGAGCCGACATCATTGCCCCACCACGCCACCTCCACTCTCCCCAGCCGGGACAAATGGGCTCCTGGTGGGCACACAGACTGGGGTCGACCTGTTAGCATACGGGCCTTTGTACCTGCGGCTTGGGGAGGAAGCGAGCAAGAAGGGGGGAACCGCCGTCATTTGAGAAAAATCCAAGAACCACACTTCAGAGGCCCCCCTGATCCCAAGACTTAGAAAGGGAAGACCGGAGCCCCCGACTGTAGTGGACACTTCCCGGTCTGCCCCACCCAGGACGGACAAGGCTACTGCCAGCTCGCACGGAGGGAAGGAGGGAGCGGCCAGAGGCTGCTGCGTCCATGAAGACTCCTGCCAATCTTGGGTCTGCCCAGAGGATGGGCGGGCGCAGAAGCCACAGCCAGCAGGGCGACGGGTTTAGGGGGCCTGGCCACTGCTCCTGGGGCCAGTGTGGGACCCTACACCTCCTGATTGGCAAGTGCCACTGACCCCCCACGGCACCACCTCTTTCTGGCTCCCTGCACCTGCATCCCCTGGCTGGGAACGGTGGCCCTCAGGTGGCAGATAGTGGCTTGGAGAAGATGGGGAGACTGGTGGGGGCCCCCTCTCCCCATGGGCTAACTTCATAACAGGAACCACCTGTCTTCCTCCTGGGGGCTCCCACCAACAGGCTGGGCACAGGGGAAGGTCACCTACCCCCCACCCTCACCCCCTGCTTTGCCCTCTGCCTCGTGTCTGGACTGCTCGTGTGCGGTGCCGCTCCCTGGTTGGGGTCCCGAAGTGGAAGGAGGGACCTTGGTCTTGTCCCTCTCACGCTTGTGGCACAGCCAAGGCCGCGCGGAGATGGGGCCTCGACTGGCCTGCAGGGCACTCGGCCACGCTAGGGGTGGGGGTGGGGGTGGGGGTGGGGCCCGCCCGCGCCTTCATGGCTGGAGACAGTTCCCATCAACGTGGCCTCAGGACCTGGGCACCTGGCAGCCTCTGCTGCTCCCAGCTGTGCCGGTGACTGCCCCACCCCCGGCCTCTGCGGGGGCCTGGACAAGCACTGACATTGAAGCCCTGAGCACAGACACATCCCATCCGTGCTACCTCTATTGCTGCTGGCAAAAACGAAGACGAAAGAGGCATCGTGGGGATCAGGTGAGGGAGGAAGCAGGAGGGGAAATGCCAGGTCTCCGGAGTCCGTGGAGGGGCGGGTGGGAGACAAGGAGGTGCAGTTGCACCTCGCTGAGGGGCAGCCCTTTGACCTCAGCACCTCTGCTGTGTGCAGGCCCTCGAGAGGGCCAAGGGGTCGTGGGATGAAAACAGCTAAACTTAAAAGCCATGGGGAACCCCGGCTGTCATGGCCTGCTGGCGCCCCCCACCAGGGGCCCAGCACTCATCCTGGGGGAGCTGCACAAGCCCCCCAAGCAGGCCTGTCCTCCTGGCCCCTCTGCCTCCCGGGTGCAGGCCGGCGGCCCTTACCAGAGAGGCTGAAGCTGGATTCGTGAAGGTCCCTCATGCCACCGTGTCGGGTGACGGGCCGGGTGGGAGTGTCGGCCAGCGGCGTTCCCATCTCCTTTTTTCCAGGATGCACGACGACAGCTACCTCCCCCAGGTAGGGAGTGCGGTCCACGCCCTTAACCTTTAAAGTCTAGTGAGGGTGGGAAAGAAGAAAAAGGAACACTATGACCGCCGGACACCACCGCTGCCGGCACCCTCTGGACGGGAGGCTACAGCCCCGCTGCTCAGTCTTGGGCCTTGAGACCAGGGAGGGGTGAGGGTGGGGGACACCTTCCAGCTCCCTCCTAACAGGTGTGTGCATGGCTGTGCACTGGAATATGGGGGCTGACCCGCCTCCCCATGGTGGAATCCCATCAACGCCCAGGTAGATGCCTGAGATGCCCACCTCAACAGCACCCACACAAAGGGGTGCCACCCCCTCAACTGCCAGGCTCCCCGGAGGCTGTACCTTGGGATCTAGCCACTTTGTGGGGGCGGAGGTTTGGGGATGAAAGACCAGAAAATTCTGGACTCGCTGAGGCAGTGGAAGTAAGTCTCTATTCTGTACCCTGACTGCCTGGGTGCCAGGCCCAGCTCTGCTCCCCGTAAGCTGAGGAAGCCGCCCACGCTCGCCGCACCTGTCCCTTCTCGGTGAAACCAGGACCAGCGAGGGGCTGCTTATCTGCACTGCACAGACTTGCTCTGTGAGGAGCTGACTTAACCTGTTGCTGCAAGGCCAGGGCCGTCGTCCCACGCCAGGAGCTGGCGAAGGACTCAGGCCCGACTCCAGGGCAGCTCCTGAGGGCGCGGCTGGGCACTGGTCCCTGAGCAACAGGAAACGGTGGCCCTCTTTGGATGGGTGTCTACTTGAGCTCGAAGCCCTTGGGGCTGAGTGGCGCCCGCCGGAGCTTTGGCGAAGGCCTGGCAGCTCGCGGAATGCGAGGCTGGGTGGAGCCCTTGAGGTAAGACCGGAGGCCACCCTGCAAGGCAGTAACTGTCCCGTCGGCGTGGGGGAGCCCACTCAGCCAGACCCACCAGGCGACAGCAGTCTCAAGGCCAGGGGAGGCCAGGGGACACAACCAGAGCACAAAGGTGCGGGGACGTCAGCCTGAGGCAGGGCTCCTGGAGAAGCTGAGCTTTGCTCCCGCTCCAGGGGGCCGGGGACCCTTCCCCGCGGGGGGCACTTGGGCTGTGGGGCTCCCTGCCCACTCTTCCAGTCGATCCCGCAGTGGCCCTTCCAGAAGGATTTGGTGGAAACAGAGTAGGAACACTTGAGACTCACAGCCAGCTTGGCGACTCCGAGGGCCCCTCCGCGGTGTCTCACCTTTTCCCTCTGCACCAGCTTCTTGTAGACCGTGTCCGGGAAGGACCGCAGGGGGCAGAACTTGCCGGTGCCCTCGGCACACATGAACACGCCGTTCTCGTACACCACCCGGCCCCGGCTGATGGTGACCAGCGGCACGCCGTGACAGCGCATGTTCTCATACAGGTTGAAGTCTCCGCCCTGCACCTGGGTGCTGGCCGAGATGGTCCTGGGAGCGGGAGTGGGGGAGAAAGCTCTGAGCAGAGGCAGAGGTGTCAGCTCAGTGGGGAGGGGAGAGGCAAGCATGGTGGGAAGGGGAGGGGCTGGGGGGAAGGGGAGAGGAGACGAGGGGGAAGAGATCATGCTCAGGCGAGGGGTGCTCCCCAAAGGACGGTCCGTCTCCCCCATCCCACCCCCTGTGTAGAAACGATGACTCCTGGCACATTCCGTTTATGCTCAACTTGCATTCAAGAACGCGGGTGCGCCCTGGCGGGCTGTGTGGGAGCCAGCGAGCTCACTCAGGTGAAGCGGCCTTGAAGGACCACCCAGGGCCCTCACAGCGCCCTCAGCCTCAGCAAGAGGGGCCTGGATACCTGCACAGGTCAGCCCCCGCAGGCTGTGTGCTCTGGGAATGCCAGGTCTTACTGCCTTCAACGGTAAAATGGAACTAGGGGCGGGGTGCACGCCAGTGGGTGCGTGGACGGGGCACAACCTCCGGCCAGCCGGCGTCGGCCAATGGCCACGCCGTGCAGCCCCGGCCGCCTCGCTCACGCGCCCCAGGCGCCCACGCGTCCCTCCGGCCCCCAGGCGGGCAGCGGGCTTTACTTTGTGGCTTCCGGATCCCACACGACCACGTCGGCATCGGCTCCAGGGATGATACGGCCCTTGCGGGGATACAGGTTGAGAATCTTCGCTGCGTTGGAGCTGGTAACCGCCACAAACCGGTTCTCATCCATCTTCCCTCCAACCTGAAACAGCAGAGGTGTCAGGTCGGCCAGGCTGTGATGGGGTCACGCCTGTCACCCTTGACCTGGCCTTGGGGCTGATCAGAGCATGGTGCCGGGGACAGTGGGGGACACAGCTCTAGGGGCTCAGCCTGCTGGGCGTGGTTCCGAAAGGCTGCCTCCTGGGTGCAGACCCGCGCCCTACTGGTGAAGCCAGTTCCATTCCTGTGCCCGCTGCCCACGCATGGCACCTGTTCTGTGTGCTGCAGAAGCTGGTTTTGCCCCACCCAGCACCAGCACTCTGGACTCTTCCCAGGGGTTTCCTGAGTCACCTTACGGATGTTCCCTGAGGTTAGTCTTGAAGACCTCAATCTTCTGGGATTCGCTCATGTGATGGGTCAGAGAATCAAAAAGACTTATTGTTCCTGAGCAGACAGGTGCTTTCAAATGAAGAGCTAGTCCCTGTCTTTACTGAAAGCAGTGGGACAAAATCTATCAAAAGCCTAAAAACGTTCATATCTCTTGATCCAGAAATCTACTTCTAGGAACCTGTGCAGAGGAAATAATTAGAAATGCTGACGCATACTCTAGAACAAAGAGGTGGGTCTCTGCGGCCTCATTTGTTAAACACAAAAATTTTAAACAGGTCAAATTTCTAAACATTAGGGAAGGATTAAGCTAAGATGGTCGTTCCATTGGAGGAAATATTACTTAGTCGTGAAAAGTGAAATCTTTAAAGAATTTTCACTAATATAGTAAGATAAAGAAGGAGAAAAGACCAGAGGAAGTGCTGGTGGGGCCTCGGGGTGGGGGCACGTACCACCCCTCTCTCCCAGATGACGCTCATGCGGTCCTGGACACCGCTCACGCCGTGCGGGATCTTGGTGAAGTCCTCCTTGCCCATGGCTTTCTGCTTCGTGGTAAAAGGCCGGTGGTCAGACGCCACGATGTTCAGAGTATCACTGCGTGGAGGGAAAGACAGGAGCAGTGAGGGGAGGGAACCGGGTCCCAGAGGTGGGACAAAGCTGGAGCCCAGGAACCAAGCGGGCTGACCCTCCCCGCTGGGGGTACGTGTGGTCGTGGCCTGAACTGTCAGCATCGCAGAAGACATCAGCATGGACCTCTGGGGTGTTGACTTTAAGACTCAGGTTAGCAGAGAAAAACTGAATGTAGAGTTGAGCTAAAGTGAGAGGGTGGAGGTGGTTTTATTACCACGGAGCCATATGCCAGCTTCCTCTCCCCTCCCCTCCAACTCCTACCAGTCCCCGCTGGCAGCAAGCATGTGCTTTGTAAAACATTCACAAGTTCAATGTTAAACTTTGCTAAATAACTCAAAGCCATGGCCCGCCTTGGATGTGGGGGCTCGAATGGCCCAGAAGGGAAAGAGGGGACCTGACAGAGAGACATCTGCTTCAAAAGCCAGCGACAGTGTGGAAGCCACTGGCTCATTGCCATGGCAGCTTTGACCTTCATCTGCAGGGGGTGTAAGGCAAGGCAGTGGCTGTAAGGCAAGGCCAGGCCCCTGGAGGGGCTGAGAACTCAGGGCGGAGACTTACAACAGTGGGAGGCTGCAGTGTGCTTGTGTAGCAGACTCTGCCTAGTGAGGGCCCGTTCAGAGAGCTCTGGAGAAGGAGCAGTCAGAGGTGGTGAGGGCATGGGGAAGACCATGCCTGCATCGCTCAGGCCAGGGCAACCTCAGGAGTGAAATGCCCTTGGAGAGCAGGGAGGGGCCTGGCTGAAGCACTGGGTCTCACGGGAGAGAGCCCATGCAGGGGGAGGTGGGGAGTCTAATTTTACTTGTAGCAGTCCAAAGCCTGGGAGAGCACGTGGCCACCCAGGACGCTTTGGAAGGGGACTCGGAGCAGAAGGCATTCTTTGGCTTGGGGAGGAGACATACTCTTAGGGCTGCCAGACGAATCCGGGTCAGGCTGCGCGCAGGCTGACTCCTCTGGGGCCTGGCAGGGCTCGGCGGTCACAGCTCGTGCCAAGTGACGAATGTCCTTGGCCCAAAGCACAGAGCGATGACGACGCTCTTCCTGTGGCCTAGGCTGGTACGGCCCTGGGCCACAGGAAAACTGCCCTGGGACTCCTCCCAGACAGGGCTTTGCCATGGGGACCCTCAGGGCTCCCGCCTCCCCCAACCTGCAGCACCCACCAGCGAGGAACCTCTTCAGGATGCTCTAACCCCTGGGTAGGACTTGGATCAGAGAGGCGCCCACCAAGAGTCTGGGGCTGCCGCTCAGAGACCCGGGGCAAACAGGTCGACGTCCACTCTTCAGTGGACTAGTCTTAGTGAGAGCCAGCTTTCTAGAAAGACTTCTACACCGGGGGACCCACCGGGCAGGTGGGGTGGTCACTCCCCAGAAGGGCTGAGTCAGGACACACCCACCTGTGTGCGGCTCCTTGAAGCACTTTTAAAATTTCACATGCTGGAATGATGGGATTTCTAATCTCTTTAAGAAGTCAGAATTTAAAGAAAGGACACATCTCTACTTCTGCAGATTGTACTTTTTACTCATATATGTAAGAAATCACATTAAAGTAGATCATTATGGAGCATCTCAGACTTTCATAAGAAAGATGACAGTTGGTATGGGTTTTCTATCAAGCGTTTTGCATATTATCAACTAACACCAACAGTGTGTAATAAAAGCAAAATTATAGTAATCATTAATGCCTATAAATAATGAAAATCTGAAAACTATACTCTACATCCTATAAAAATAGCACCCATTTACAATATGTCCTGATTAAAAAAAAATTCAAATTATTCTAATAGTGTATCCTCATAAAAACTGACATCAAAGTACAATTCTATTTAAATGAATAGAATTCATTTAAATTATTTAACTTTGACAAAATAGGATAGATAGAAAAGCTTAAATTATTCAATTAAGAATACATTTCCAGGCCCTCCCTGGTGGTGCAGTGGGTTGAAGCACAGCACTAAGAAGCTAAAGCCACTCCAGTGTGAGTTTGATCCCCGTCTGCCCCAGAGGTGACCACATGACGAGGCAGACCTCTCCTGACCGGCCCGCTGCTCCCCTCAGCAGTGTACTTCATCAGTCAGCCTGTTCTGCTCCCCACTCTGTCTCTGGTGAATTCTCTCACCACCTCTGTGCCTCTGGCCTGTACTCCAGCTCTGTATGCACAAATAAATAAAATCTTGAAAAAAATAGGAAGAAAAAACAAGAACACACTTCTTCCCTCCCTACCTGAAACTGTGGGCTTCGACACAGCCGCTGGGGTGGGTGGGAGCATGTGGGACCTTCCCGTCCTTCTGATACATTTGCTTGGTGCAGACTGAGGCATTTTGAGAAATTCCCTGACCTTGGCACAGAGCCTGTATTATTGTAGTGGGCTCTAGATACCTGGTGTCTCTGCTGTGTTGATAGTGATGCTGGTTTTTACAAGAGCTGCTCCAGCGTTTTCCCTGTCCTGTGTGACTCTGCTTGTCACCTGTCAGAGCAATGTGCTCGGTGCCCCAGCAAAGCTGTGGGACAGGACGAAGCAGCCACCACTTTGCCCCTTCACCCTGGGCTCCTCTCCAGCTTGGAAGGCCCCTGCACCCTACCTCTCTAGGTTGACAACACAGCAGGCTCCTGAGTGTGAATGGGAAATGAGGGTGCTGGTGTCCTGTATCCAAAGAGATCCGCCTTCAACTGAGTCTGGTCATTTCCCTCCAGCCCCCCACACCCCCAATCAAGCACCCGGAAGAGGCTTATTTCCCCACTCGCTGCTGCTTCTCAGACTAACAGGGACTAACAGCTTTTGGGGCCCTCCTTGTATAGAGCCCGAGAGGTGCCCAGATGTGGGTTCTCATGCCACGGTCCCCCCCCCAAAACCTGATACACTCAGTGGGTGTCAGCTTTCCCTGTACCCTCCCAGCTGGGGGCAGAAGGAAACCGCCCCCCACCCGTGCCTCCAGCGCAGATCTGGGGGTGAGGAAGGCGAGGCCTGGCCTTAAGCTAGAGAAGAGACAGCAGCGGCTTCTACCCAAAATGCCACAAAAGGGAAGACAGAGCTGTAGCCAGTCACTGGGACGAAACAGAATCGTGGCATAATTTTGTTCCATCGAATTCAGGTTGTTCCTTACATCGTTTTATTTAGATTCAGGTTGAATGGAGAGAAGCAGGGCTAGAAAGAGAAGAGCTGCAGAACAGGAGGAGAACGGGGGAGAGGAAGCCCACGCAGAAGGCGAGGGAAAGGAGAAAGAGAGACGGGGAGGGTCAGGTACACACAGAAAGCCACAGGCCGAATAGTGAGAAAACGGGCGTGAAGGGGGAGAGAAAGGCCACAGCTATTCCGAGATAAGTCAGCCAGGCCTGCAGCACCCAGTGGGCATTCGCGGGAGAGATCAGGGTCCTTTGAAGTTCTGAATAGCCACAGTTCACAGCTCTGAACCTCAGGAGCCCAAGGGATGGCAGCTGCCCGCTGGGCTGCAGGAGGGCAGCTAAAGCAAACCACCCTGTTGGCACCTGAAATCAAACCTAGATTTGGAGCCTCTGTGACGTCACCTGAAGGACCCACAGACTCCCCAACGCAGGCGCTGCGGCTCTGAGGCTGGCCCCCGCGGCCCGCTGCGGGCCCCCGCC